AAACACTAGAGGACTTTCAGCAGGTGAGGAACATATTTCAACTGAATCGCCTCAGTGGCTGTGATGAGACTAAACTGACGGCGGTACAGGACAGCAAGAGGGCAGAAGCAAGACGTCCCCGAAGGAGGCCAAGGGCAGTAACCTGGGCAAAAGATGACGGCAAGTCAGACCCTAATGCTGGACTGGAGTGTGTGAAACTCCTGGATTCTGGGTCTATTTTTAAGTTGAGTCAAAAAGATGAATTTCTACATCAGATGAGACTGAATGAAGACAGTAAGAGATGACAGAAGTTTACTGCCCTGACCAAGCAGAGCACGGAAGAGGGTCCGGAAGACTGAAAGAAGGGCGAGACCGGGGGCAGTGGAAGAAGGTGAATTATGCACTTGGCAAGTTTACGGCGGCTGTCAGTGACCCACAAGGCGACGCATCAACAGAGCGTACGCGGGCCCGGAGTCCAGGCGCACGGGCCTCCCGGCCAGTTAGTGCTGCGGACCTGACTTTGCCTCTTATTTTGACCACTGACCCTCGCTGTGATCCTACTTACTTTCCATCTGGGTTCACCAGTGTGACCACACAATAGCCTCTCGATCAGCTACAAGAACAACTTCTATTACTTATCATGAAGAACCTTAACTGACATCATTGCTAAAACAGGAAATAATTTAAATTGTGAATAAATCCAACTTTATTAAAAGCAACATAAAAAAAAAGATCTGTGCACAGTACTGTCTATATAATTTATTTATAGTACTGCTTTACATAACTTATAGCCTATCATATACTTTATTACTTACGAAAAGAAACTAATGATCAAATCCTAGTAGAAAAGCCCATCTCTATCTACCGTAGGCAAACTAAACCAGAGCCCAGCACACAAGTAACGAGCTAACTGCACACAACCATTAAAAACTTCTTCACTTAGTCTCTACTTGGTATTTGTACTTTAAACTCTTACACTGAGTGAGGGGAGAGGCAAGGAAGGGGAAGGAGACAAAAAAAATTAAGATGCGTAATGTACGTGTACTAACTCTCCAAGAATAACGTGATCATTACATGTGTACTGATAAAAATCAAAAATTTTAAAAATTCATAGGAACTGATTATATCATGACGTGCAAGAAAACATGATTTTATTACATGAGGTAAAAAACATAATGAACACCTGCAATCCCAGCACTAGGAAGACTGAGGCAGGGGAACTGACACAAGTTCAGAGGCAGCTTGGGCTACACAGTGAGTTCAAGGTCAGCCTGAACTGAATAGTGAGACCATGTTTAAGGGGGGGAAAAATGCAGCATAAACTAAAAATGTGAAGTTTTATTTATTTTATTTTTTGTCTTTTTGAGACAAGGTCTTGCTATGCAGTTCAGGTTGGCCTTGAGCTCACTTTGCAGCTCAGGCTGATCTCGAACTCACAAGGATCCTCCTGCCTCAGCCTTCCGAGTGCTGGGATTACAGGTGTGCGCCACCACGCCAGGCGCCTGAAATGAAGTTTTAAAGGACTTATAAAATAAGAAGTTATTTTCATATAATTCCAAAGTACCTCAAACCAGATTGCCACAAACAATCTATTAACACAAATGAATATAATCTGCTCTGAGGACACAGGCTCCTGCATGCACACACATACAGTCCACAGAACAGCTTTCCTGACAGTCTGCGTAGGTTAAGAGAACAGAAAGGACAGGGGAATCATAAAAAGTATGGCTAAACTAAGCATGGTGGGACAAACCTGTACTCTGGAGGCTAAGGGAGGAGGACGGCAAGTTCAAGGACAGCCTGGGAAATGTAGCGAGAACCCGTTTCAAAATAAGAAACTGAGGTGGGCACAGTGGCACATGCCTGTAATCCTATCACTGTGAGGTTCAAACCAGCCGGGGCAATGTAGTGACTCAGCAAGCCCCTGTCTTAAGATTTAAGAAATTAAAAAAAAAGAGCTCAAGCTATAGCTCAGTGAGAAGGCCCAGGGTTCAATATCCAGTAAAATCAATCAATCAATCAATCAGGGCTTAAGCCTGACACAGTGACACATACCTATTTTTTGTTCCTATTATCAGTGCTTTTAAAGGTGTTTGGACTTAGGTTTGTTTAAATTTAGACTTGAGAGGCTAGAAGTGTAGCTCAGTGGTAGAACACTTGCTTAGCATGCAAAAGGCCCTAAGTTTGATTCCTGGGACAGTAAAAAAGGTAACAATTTTTAAAACTGCAAAACTGCTGGGCCTGATGATGCACCCCTGTAATCCCAGCACTCAGGAGGCTGAGGCAGGAGGATTGCTGCAAATGCAAGGTCAGCCTGGTCTACACTGTGAGTTTAAAGCCAGTCTGGACAGTGTTCTTTTTTTTTTTTTTTTTTGGTACCGGGACTCGAACTTAGGGCCTTGCATTTGCCAGGCAGGTGCTTGTGCCACTGAGCTATATCCCTGGCCCTTTAAAGCCAGTCTGAACTACATTGCAAGACCCTGTCTCTAGAGGCTGAGGCAGGAGGACTGCTATGAGTTTGAGGACAGCCTGGACTACAAAGTGAATTCAAGGTCAGCCTGACCTACATAGCAAGACCTCGTCTCAAAAAACAAAACAAAACAGAACAAAAAGACTCTGTCTCAAAACATTAATCAACCAACCAACCAACCAAAAAAAAAAGCAAAGTGAAGCAAACAGAAGAAATATTTTTAAAAAATATTCTCTCCGGGGCCAGGTGTGGCGATATGTGCTTATAATAGCAGCTACTCAAGAGGCTGAGACAGGAGCATATCAAGTTCACAGTTAGCCTTGAACCAGCTCTTGCTGGCAACACAGCAAGAGCTAGTCTCAAAAACAAGAACAAAACAAAACAGATTCTCTCCTGAGACTCATCCATATTTACATCAAGTTCCAGAGATATAATATTCTCATTATACTGTGTTTCTATATCCTGAAGAGTCTAATTTAACTTCTAAGTATATATTTTATCCTTTTCCCTTTGAGGCATTCTTTAGGATCATTAAATCTTAATGTATGCTGACCCTAAAAGGTATCATTCACAAAAAAACACACTTCCAGGCTGGGCATGGTGGTGTACATCTATAATCCCAGCACTCTGGGAGGCTGAGACAGGAGAATCAAAAGTTCATGCCCAGCCTGCTCAACTCAGCAATTTAACAACACCCTGTCTCAATATTTTAAAAAGGGCTATGGATATGGTTGAATACCAAGGCCCTGGTGGATTCAATACCTAGTGCTAACCATAAAAAGAAAAAGAAGCTGGGTTGGTGGTGCATAGTGTAATCCCAGCACTCGGGTTAGCCTGAACTGCATAGAGAGACCCTGTTTCAAAAAGACACACACACACACACACACACACACACACACACAATCCACACTTCCAATCATTCTATACAGAAACAATGAGTCTACTGAAAACTTGTTTATGAATTACCAACAATTTAAATATTTGAACAAATGTTTTGCCTGATTTTATTAAGCGGCCCATTCAAACATATTCCTATCTAAAAGTGCTTTTAAAACAACAAATCATTATTATAATGATTAATACAACGTACTCTGGCTGGAAGTATAATACTTAGGGTGTAGAGCACTTGCCTAGCATGTGCAAGGCCCTGGGATCAATTCCTAACACTGGGGGTGGGTACTTTATTGCTAGTAATGGCCAAATTTTTCTAAGTTTGCACTAAAAAGTATAGTGTGTAATATTTAGGCTTATAAACCACCTAAATCTTAAAAACCCTCTTACAATTTAAATCTGACTATAATTCATTCAATGAGAGTACCCAAAAACTGTTGTTCAGAAGTCTACCTTTATCAAGCCAGGCATGGTAGTGCATGCCTGTAATCCCCGCACTCGGGAGGCTGACGCAGGAGGATTGGTGAGTTCAAGGTCAGTCTGAGCTACACACTGAGTTCAAGCCCAGCCTAAGTTACATGACAAGACCCTGTCTCAAAAAAAACAACAAAACTACCTTTGTCAAGCACTTTATTTACTTTTGGAAACACTAAGATCTTCACTATTGTGCCTGATGTTGGAAAATGATCTGAAGTGAAAGCAGTGCTTTAGCAAGCAAACAAGCTCCATGCTACTAAAAACAACTCAGTAGTACTAATATAGAGCAGAGAAAGCTGTACACAAATGTATTTTCTACCCACGATAGCAAAATTCGGGGTTTTTTTTTGAGACAAGGTCTCACTATGCAGTTCAGGCTGGCCTTGAACTCACTTTGCAGCCCAGGCTAGGGCCTTGACCTTGTGCTAATCCTTCCGCCTCAGCCTCCCAAGTACTGGGATTATAGGCATGAGCCACCGTGCCAGGCTGACGGCAAATTTTTAAAAATTAACTTTATTGGTACACTTTAGACATACATAATGATCACATGCATCACAGGGAATTTACACCTGTACATAATAATCTTCATTTCTTCTTTTCCCATCCTCTTCCCTTCCTTTCAATCTTTCTTCCTCTCTCCCTTTACAAAACTTTGTTTCTATCGTTTTCTTTCCATGCTTTTTTATTTTTTTATCCTTACTCCCCTTCCCCTTCAACATGTTTTCCCACTTTCCAGTATCTATCGTCCATTTTGGTCCTACTCACCATTTGGGTGCTCACACAACAGAAACAATGTGGTATTTAAAAATGTGTCCCATTCATTTCCCTCAAAATTATGTTCTCAAGGTGCAATGATGGCAAATTTTATCAACATAAATCTATATAAAAATAGAGGCTGGGGATTTAGCTCAGCGGCACAGCGCCTGCCTGGCAAGTGTGAGGTCGTGAGTTCGATTCCCGGTACCAGAAAAACAAACAAATCTATATAAAAATAGTAGTTGGCTTTTATCTACAATAAAAGAAGGCTGGCAAATACTTTATGACTTAACCCACTGTGGAATTTTATTACAAAATACTTTTTTAGTGACCATCAGATGAGAATCCTCTAGTAACTAACAGTCTCGGGAAAACAGGACAGAAGGAATACAGATCGGTTCTATCAAGACCACGCTATTCTTCTTACCAGGTTGATCAGCCTTCTCATCGAATGTTCATGGGAGCAAACACACTCGCAGGGATCGAATCCTCCTTCTGCCATGATTTCCCACTTTGATTTTACTTGACTGTTTAAATCTATGAGGAAGGGAAACATAATATAAGACTCCTATTTGGTTACTTTCTCTTGAGCTATGAAAAATTCATATATTGTATAGGTTCTTAACAGTTCTCTTAACTATGTATATTCATATTTATTAATGATCTATACAGTACCTATGAATGTACTATCAATCCACTATGAAATATGAATTCATCAGATTAATTATGAATCTACGAATGGCTACCCCTTCTGCCATTAGATCAATTGCCTATAAATGCAGATGTCTTCAGACGCTATTAACTGGCCCCATTTATGATGAAGACCCCTTAGAGACTGGGAAAACAAATGAAGTCAGCACTTTGACTGAACCAATTACCCAGAGGAATTTTCAGGCCAAAGCGCAGGGGGAATGTGGTGAAGTGACAACAGAGGGTCAGGAACCAAGGCTGCATACTGTCTCCCCTGCCCCCTACACTGGCGACTGAACTCAGGGTCTCCACATCGAGCTCTATTACCAGCCCCACTTCCTTGAGACAGGGTTGCACTGTTCCTAAGTTGTCCAAAGTGGGCTGGAACTTATGATCCTCCTGCCTCAGTCTCCACAGCTGCTAGAAAGAATTAGATTCCCACTGGAGATTTGGGGAATTACCTGCGATATACTGAGGTGAAATCAAGTAGCTGACCAGTTAGGGCGAATCCACCTTCCATCCAGTATCCTCCCATTAAGAGGGAAGGGAAGACACGGGAAGGAGGGCGATGGAGAGAAGGGATGGAGGTGCTAGGGACCCCACCAGCTAGGAAGCACCATATACGAATGATGACCAGCTCATGCTCTTATCTGAGGCCACTCTGTGTCCCATATGTTTTCTGTTTAATGGATTAGCCTATTAGTAAACTGGGCATACATATCCAACACAGAAAACCCTGCAAGTGACTATAAACTATCTTTAAAAGTAAGCCGGGCGTGGTGGCGCATGCCTGTAATCCCAGCACTCAGGAGGCTGAGGCAGGAGGATCGTTGCAAGTTCGAGACCAGCCCGGGCTACAAAGTGGGCTCAAGGCCAGCCTGAACTGTATAGCGAGACCCTGTCTCGAAAAGGCAAAAAAAGGAGAGAAAAATTCACCCTTGCAACCCTATTTCTCAACAGGGCTGGGACTGTGCTGGTGTGGACAGAATTAAATGTCCACTCACAACACTGGTCCATCACCCTCCCCATCTGTACCCCACTGGGCCAATGACGCACTGGTTAAAATTTAAAAGTACTTTACCAAGACTTTAAAAAAAATGCAAATACCAAAATGCTCAATACTTAGCCACTTGTGTAGCCTCTGAACAAGAAAATGTTAGACTTGTTCTTTAAAAACACAGCTGTTTTCAAGTCTCTTTTTAATCCGTTTGGTTAAGAAAATGAGATCGCACCTCCTCTCCCCAGAACACAGTTTAAGAACAGAAACCTCTTAGTCACTCACCTCGAACGCCTCCCTCACTGCTTTGGCCCCGGCACTCACTGAGTAAATATTTACTGAATCCGTGACAATGTTTATCTTCTCTGTAGCTATATATGCTGGAACATGTAAATGAACTACAGTTTTAAATTATACTCCCACCTTGATTAGCCTCCAGTAAATGAAGCTATGCTTCTGTGGAACTTTCCTTGTGTAAACTTGGGCTCTTTTTAAGTATTACTAAGTTTTCAGTTAACAGTTTCCATTTTAAAATCAGTTTAAAGAATAACAGGATGAAAAAGAATAACAGAACGGACCCCATCGATTAGAACCCAGAGCAAGTGGCCAATGTACACCAGCAGCTAAAGCCCTGAGCAAAAACAACCTTCACCCAAGCCTGCCCCGCATGGAACGCCTGCAACCTCCGGAGTACTAGGAAGCCGCTTGTCCTGGACGGGCCACAACAGGTCACTGCATCACAACTCTGGCAAATCCACTTCAAAGAGGTCTCTGATAGGAAGTAATTTAAAACAACACTTTTGCCTTTCCTGTTTCATAGAATTGCTCACTTCCTCTATATTCCTAATTTTATTTTATTTATTTATTTATTTATTTATTTATTTATTTATTTGTCTTTTTGAGACAAGGTCTCGCTATGCAGCGCAGACTGGCCTTGAGCTCACTTTGTAGCCCAGGCTGGTCTCGAACTCACAACGATCCTCCTGCCTTAGCCTCCCAAGTGCTGGGATTACAGGCGTGCGCTACCATGCCGGGCTTATATTCCTAATTTTAGAGAATGGTTCTAACATCAAAGTCATGAGCTTGAACTCTGAAGACAACTAGCATTACTATTTGTTTCCTAAAAATGCACCACAGGAGCCAGGCGCGGTGGCACAAGTCTCTGCTCCCAGCGCATAGGTGAGGATGGAGGATCGTAGCAAGTTCAAGGCCAACCTGAGCTACATAGTGAGTTCAAGGCCGGCCTGCACTATAAAGCAAGACCCTGTCTCCAAAAAAAAGTCAGTAAGTCACCAGAGTCCTAAATCATGAAACCATGAATATGCAATGAAAACACTCAAAATTAAAAATAATTCTGAGGGGGCTGGAAACGTAGCTAAGCAGCAGAGCACATGCCCAGCATTCACGAGGCCCTGGGTTTAATCCCCCCACAGCAAAACAGTGATCCACATCAGGGCACTGAGGAAAGCAGACACAGATTCAGGTAAATGGAACGGGCTACGAGTTCATAATGAAGCCGGACGACAGGGACTGAAGAGTTCTTATGCTTCTCAATGTTTCTGTATTTCTAGATTTTCTGTGACATTTATGTGAGCATTTTCCTAATTAATACTTATAACAGCAACCTGACTCCAGGTATATTAAACGACAGCACTTATAGTGACTTTACAGGGCATTAAGGGTAAACTAAGTACACATTTCTAAAGATCTCAAAGCCATCCATGCCTAAACCACTCATGGCCAGGACAGGTTGTGAAATGACGTACTCTGCACGTGGAGAAGGCGATAAGCAATTCCCCTATGCCTAGCTCATTTCTTCCCTCTTTTGCAGCTAACATGACCTTTCCTGGCAGATGTGGCAACAATAAATCAGTTAAGTCCTCCTGTTTCTTTTTTCTCTCTTTTTTTTTTTGTGTGTGTCTTTTTGAGACAGGGTCTCACTATGCAGTACAGGCTGATCTTGAGCTCACTTTGCAGCCCAGGCTAGTCTTGAACTCACGGCGATCCCCCTGCCTCAGCCTCCCAAATGCTGGGATTACAGGCATGCACCACCATGCCCTGCTTACTTCATTCTTTTTTTTTGGGTGCCGGGAACTGAACTCATGACCTTGCACATGCCAGGCAGGTACTGTGCCACTGAGCTACAATCCCAGCCCTATTTCATTCTTTTTAATGGTTATATAATACCATAAAATACAAATGAATAATTTTTGCATTCCTTTATTACAGAGTAAGTACTCCAACATTTCCAATTTTTAAAATGATACTGTAACAACCTCAGTTGGGAGTTTTGTAAAACAGTACTAAAAATGAAAACTCTAGGCTTAAGGGCCTGCACTTAAAGGCTTTATCAATTTGAGTGAAGGGGTAAAGAGAAAGACGCAAGTTTTCCACGGGCAAATCTTCCTAAAAATAATTCCAAATAGTAAAAGTAGATTCTCCCACCCTGCCCAAATCAGGCTTAACCTCCTATTCTTACCCTGAGTGTCGCACAGACTTAGTGACTCACTCCTAAGCAACACCACACAGAAAGGAAAGATAATTTCACAGTGGAGAAATAAGCAAGTGGAACCTACAAAGTGAGACACTGTCTTGGAAAAAAAAAAACAAACTACAACTGAGGCTGAGGCAGGAGGCTCTCCATGAGCTTGAGGCCAGCCTGGACTACACAGTGAGCCCAGGCCAGCCTGTACTACACAGCAAGACCCTGTCTCAAAAAACAAAATGAAACAAAACAAAACTCAAATACTACTAAATAAGAAGCTACAGTATATTAACCGAAAGAACACCATACTGTCTAGTAACAGTAGATATAGCAGAACCAACTTTTGCTAGCAGTATTTCTAGAGATTTGGCTCCTTCTTATATGCTAGCCCACCGAGGACAGGAAAAGGATACCTCAAAAAGGGTTGAATATTCTCAGTTCTGGTCTCTAGGAAACTGGACCTGGAAGGTAGAGCAAGGGACCCTAAAAATGACTCAGTCTAAGGAAACAATGCAAGGGGTGGGGTCTATGAGCACCTCTGGGTGGCTCCAATCCTGTATTTTTGAAACCAGTCATCTATGAAAACCAAACAACTGGGCAAAGAAGATGAGCAGATAACTATGAAGCAGAATCCAGCAAAGACTAAACACGTCTTGCTCCTCCTCCATCTCAGAATGAACTTCTACATATAATTAAAGTGTACAGTGTTAATTTTCTCAGAGTCAATATCTGACTCAAGCTACAAATCTTTAATTATCTATAATTACAAGTGAATTTTAAAGTAGACTGTGTGACCATGAAAACTGAACCATTAGCTTTAGAATACACTCTGCGGCTGACAGGCATGGTGGCATGTGCCTGCAGTTCCAGCAATGTGACAGGCTGAGGCAAGAGCCCAGGAGTGCAGGACCAGCCCCAGGTAGCACAGCAAGATCCTGTTTTTTGAGACAGGGTCTCACTATGTAGTCCAGGATGGCCTCAAATTCATTTTGTAGCCCAGGCTGGATCGAACTTGTGCCCATCCTCCTGCCTCAGCCTCCTCAGTGCTGTGATTACAGGTGTGCACAACCATGCCTGCCAAGACCCTGTCTTAAAGAAAAGAAAAAAGACAAGGAAAGCCAGCCAGCCAGCCAGACACGGTAGCCTACACCTGTACTCCCCAGCATTTTTGAGACGGTAAGGCAGGAGAATCACAAATCCAAATCCCACCCAGACAACTGAGCAAGCCCTGTCTCAAAAATAGCTGGAGACATGGCTCAGTGGTAGTGTCCCTGGGTTCAATTCCATCAGACTGACCAACTGACAAACACACACACACACACACACACACACACACACACACAGCCCAAAACTTTTTTTTTCTGA